GGGGGGGGGGGGGGTGTGGTCTTTCTGGTATCTTTTCCGACCCCTGAAATGTTAGCAAAGGTATCCGGTAACTCACCTTACCCCCTCCCTCAGAAACAATAAATAATGAACGGCCATGTGCAACTTCTGCTTTTTCATGCTTCTTTCAGCTTGAGGGTTTCGGGTCTTGAGGGGATTTCAGGGACTTAACATGACTTAGCCCAAAACGCCATGTCAAAACAGTAGTACGAGAAAGGAAGAGAGGAGAGCAAGATAAGTGAAGCAAAGAGTTGAGAAACATCAATCCGTAAACAGTAGAGACAAGCGGACCAGAGTGGAGCAGTAAGTCTAACAAAAGTGGAATGGAATGGCGGCAAAGTGTTTTAGTTGTTGTGGGGGCTTGTTTGCTGTGAGGCTCTGGCTCGTTCTTGCTTTTGTTGCTGTGGATGCCGGGCGCGTTTCTTGTTTGTGCGGGTCAGGCGCATTGATTTGTTTAATTTGCTGTGGAGTCTGGGCGGTCTGCCTTGGCCATGTGTGGTCCCTTTCCAGGGCGCGTATGTTTTTTGCTGGGGGGGCCGGGCGCGTATGTTCTTTGGCTGCGGGTCGGTCGCCTTTTGCTTTTGCTACGGGGTGCTCCGGGTACTCCCTTTCGCCTTCACAAAAACCCCACACAACAACAAAAATCACGGGTTTCTATGATTTCTATGGAATGACCTAAGACTTAAGAGTTGGCCTCCCTTCACGCCTTACTAGGACTCCGAAGACATGACATGCACCTTTCACCTCGTCGAATTCCTGGAAGACACTTGAAGGACACTCCCTTGCGTTCAGCGCCCGAAGGGAACCCATACACGCAACAGTCCCTCTGACCCCCTGTAGTACGCAACCCCTTCCTTCCATGCCACCCCTTGAGAAATTAGCAACATAACCGTATCATAACCGTCGTGCACAAACTGACAAACTGACGAGCTCAGGCCTTGACGGATCTGGACTTGTTTGGAGTGGTCAGTGAACGTCGCTTGTCGGTGGGGCCTCGGGGCACAAGTCGAGAGAGAAAGGGGGCAGGAGTAAGCAAATTCGGGCAGTGTGGAGTGTGAAGACATTGATTACCTGAATGAGTACCTATTATACCTGGCTCGGCTCCCAGAAAAGCAAGGATCGCTCCCCGCCAGTCCAAGAAGACTCCAAGAAGCACTTGAGCTGCTGACGGACTTATGAAGACCTTGCTCAGACATAGGAGGAAAAGACACGCAGCAGGAAACGCAACAGGATTTGCATAGCAAGCGCAGCTGCTGTTTTGCATCAGCATCCATGGCCCTCCTACGGTGAGGCTAAACACGCCGACGTGTGGTCTTAGCAGTGCGTGTTGCTCGTGCAACTCTCAATTCCGAAACATGGGGCCCGTCGCATCCTGCATGGCATGGGAGTTGGTACTTGTAAAATGAATTACTCGCACGGGCTGAAGTTCCTCTTGCAGTCGGTCTCCTTCCCCGAAGCGAGTCTTCTGCTTGTCAGCATGCCTGAGAGAGACAGGAAAATGGCTGAATCACATGGCTACAAAACCACTCCGGCCCTCCAAGCGCGTGTCACATCTCACACGGCCAAAGCTAAACTGCGTGTCTCTCAAGTCTTACAACACAGTTCACCGCACCTCCGGAAGACTGTGCAGGACAGGCATCCTCGTCTCGCATGTCTGAATTACTCTGCAGGCCGGCAGGCTCAAATGATTTACCTCGCACTCTCCTGTCTCAGCTTCATTGAATCAGGCTACAACAAAACAGTTGGCCTCGGCTGCTGCTTCATGAAGCGGTCTTTTCCCGCCCAAACAAGTCCCAAGTAGTCGCACGCGAGGCACATATAGGCTTGCGCCGGCAACGCTGTATGCCACTGTATGCCTTCTGCGGCTTTCTCTAGCTGGATTCTCGCAAGAAACTCTTTGTCGGTCACGATGCATGGAGCTACATAGTTGCGGGTCGAGATAGCCGACAAGAGTCTCTTATTACCTTGCGAAGGACATGCAGTACAGGGCTGCATTCGAGGATCCTAATCGCCAGACTTACTCTGCATTCGAGCATCCTAATAACCTTTTCTGGCCCATTTCCTGGGCCCCCCTGAGTCTTGTAGGAACGCCCGCATCCTCATTAGCCATCTCCCACCCCTGCTGTATGACTGGCTCTGAGCAGGGAAAGAGAAGTTATAACAATGCTGAGGGCTTGGCTTCAATACCAAGGCGCAGCCTTCCCGCTGACGGACTGCACAATGCCCCGTGGATTTCACAGCTGACAGGGTCTTTGGGAAGGAAACACACATGGCCTTGGAACTGGTATCTCCAAGCATCCAGTGTACCTGGCACGTTCCATTGCAAAGCATCTCTTGGTCCTTGGCCTTTAACAGAAGCCTCTCTCGAAACATGAGCCTGCTGAAGGCCATCGCTCACAGCGACCTGGCAGTGCAGACTGCGAGAATCTGGATTGCCACAAAACGCGTGAGGTTGAACGCTTCTGCTCTACAAACTCACTGCGCAACATCATGAACTGCTCCCAAGAGAAGTGGACAAGTCAAAAGTCTGCAAAGCGGAAACTCGTCCGCTATTTTCAGCAATCAAGGTTTTCGGATTCTGCGTCTTGATGGCGACTGCACTGAAGACCCCTTCCTGCAACTAAGGCCAAACCCTGTCAGCTTTAATGCAAGAAGACACGCACGGCAACGCAGGCACTGATTCTTCGAAACTACCAGCCAAAGCTTCAGTTGAACCACTTGCCTTGTAGGCTTGGTGTTTTCTCGGACATGAGGGCCATAACCAGGGAGGCGTAGGATTTGGGGCTTGTGGCATTTAGGGTTTTGAGGTTTGAATAGCGTCGTCCTTGTGAGATCTTAGTGAACCTGGGGGATACAGAAGCGCGGCAAATGGCTGCTCCAATGCATCCTACCTGCGATGAAAACAGTTCAGTACTCAAAGAATATACATTCGCTGGATCTGAAGGTGGAAATGGGGTGGGGTGGTAGTGACTTAATTAATTATGTCTTTACCTGGGGTGTGTTCCTCTCATCGGGATGCAAAAGCGGGTCGTTCAACAATATGCCCCTGCCGGCGTTTCCCTCACTGACTATATTCCTCTCACCGGCAGGCCGCTTCAACACCCCATCTATGTTCTCTCTGTCTTTCCGTGTTCCTGTCATCGCAGCGCTGAGCTTCCCTTTCCATAAATTATGGAGACGCTCCAATCTTAACTTCATGCTTACTGATGCTATCGCGTCTTTCTTGGACTGCGCGTCGCCTACATCAGCCAAACTCACAAACGTCTCCTCACTGTCACGCAGCGCCCGTCGCATGGCCACACTGTCAGCGCGCATGCTTCCATGTTGTTGCTATAAATACGACATCAACGGCACGGATTTAATCTCCTAGCAGGTCTGTCAGTTCTTTTTGTCTACCATCGGCTGCAGTGGCCAGGAATTGTTGGGCATAGTCCAGCTCATTGACGGGATCTTGCCACGGAAGAAGAATACCCTGCGACACTCCCTGTGAATGTAAATCCGCTGGGAGTCATCTTGAGAAAGTTTTGCCACGCAGGACCATGGCGGAACCCGCGATGGCAAAGTGCAAGTTTGTGCGCTGCCTGCTGACTTGTAGGAGTCTTTGGAGGACATCTCACTTTGGGATCGTTCCCTGGCGCATCTCGAAACGTCTCTGAACTTCGTCGATCAGGAAGGAGACCATTTTAAGAGATTCATCAGCACTCATCAGCTTGGTTTGGGCTGCATTCTGAACTCTCTGATAATCCCCGAGAGCACTCCTAGTTTGGACCGCCTCGAAGTGGCACAACGGCCCCACGTCAGGGCTGACAGAGAGTCTATCACGGGCATGTGTGTCATCTGTGCACCAGCCATAGAGCATCCAAAACCAAAATGCCCGACCTTCCCTCCCAAACGGAATGAATATCCTTTATTTTTTGTGGGAGGGCGGGGGGGTATTTCTTTGTTTCGCTTATCTTGCACGCACTACCAGATATGGAAATCAATGACCCTCTCAGTGTTTCTTGTGGGTTCGGACGCTGTCGCCTCCCTCTCGGTGTTGCCGCGTGCTCGTGACGTACTGGTTGTAAGCATCTCAAAGCCAGGAAATACGAAAAGGCGCTCGAATCTGGCTTTCGCTTTCACGAGTCGTGAAACAGCGGCAGGGCCACACTTGCCTTAAAACGCGGGGTGGCTGGCCGCCCCCATTTTGCAAGCGCAATGCTCGCATGATGATTTGGAAGGATTCATATACTTTTGGAAGCCAGGGCGCGACGCCCCCCCCCCCCCCCCCCCCCCCCCCCCCCCCCCCCCCCCCCCTCCTCCTTTCCTTGTCCCGCTGAAAAAAGCAGGGGGTTGGGGGGGTTTGGGGGGGGGGGGGGGGGCGCAGGCCCCCCCATGTGAAATCACAATGCTCGCATCATGGGCTTAAAAGAAAAAACTCGTATGGTGGCTTTGGAAGGGTCATATGCTTCTGGAAGCAAGCTTGCACGAATGAAAAAGAGAGGAATCTTCAGGGAGTATGTCGCGCCTTCTCCTGGTCACCCGCACTACATCCGCAGGCCTGGGCTAGGGTAAGGGCTTTCAGGGCTCAATTAAAGTTCAGGGCTCAGCCAGACTCGCAGCATTGACAACGCTCAGTTTTAAACCTGCTTACGCGATCTCGCGCGGCACATACCACTGGCAAAACGAAACGATGAAACTACCAAGCCAATCTAGTCTTCGTACCCTCTGGGTGCGGCGGGTCTCGCAGCCAATTGGCTGTGCAAATGGCCAGCTGTTCACCCAACTCAACTCCGTTGGCGCAAAACGCAGGAGTTCGTCAAATCCACCGCAGCATGACCACATGACGAAACACATAAGTCTCAGAAAGGCGTCGCAAGTCCCTCGCCAACTCCTCGCTGTCCAATCCTTTTGCTTCACATCCGCGACGCAGCTGGTTGGCAGCAAGGTCCAAGTCGATGACTGAGAACATGCCGACCTCAGACCACCACTGGACGGCATCCAACACCGCGAGGCACGCAACAAAGTGGGCTCCTTGCTCATTGGCAAAAGCCAGTGTGGCTCCAAGCGCACCTGGGCCAGCAGCCGACCGATGCAGACTTGCCAGGCCGTCCACCAGCAGCCCCGACTTCCATTTGCGGCACACTGCACCACTGCAAAGCTTGAACGCTCCGAAAGCCACCGGGCTCTCTTGCACACTTTCCTGAAAATCTTCAGGTGACAAAGCGTCACCCTGGCAGTCACCAACGCCACCTGCTAGCCGCGACAGCACCTTAGCCGCGACAGCACCTGTGTGCAAACGCGCAAGCAGCATCTAGGAGCAAGGAAGGTTAAGCAGGCGAGCCATTTCCACCACATGCATGGTACTGCATAGCATACGTTACACTTGTAAGACCACAACCAGTACCACAGTCAAGCGCCCCCTGAAAGAAGCTGCGCAGGACTGACAAAACTACATCCGTCCAAACAAATTAAAACAAGCAGGCATAGGAGGCGCCTATGAACAAGCATCCAGGAACGAGGTCGCCTACCAAAAAAAACCCTGGAGTGGTGTTGCTGGATGACCCTGACCCCGAATTCCCGATAAGGCCACAACCAGTACCACAGTCAAGCGCCCCCTGAAAGAAGCTGCGCAGGACTGTCAAAACAACATCCGTCCAAGCAAATTAAAACAAGCAGGCATAGGAGGCGCCTATGAACAAGCATCCAGGAACGAGGTCGCCTACCAAAAAAACCCTGGAGTGGTGTTGCTGGATGACCCTGACCCCGAATTCCCGATAAGGCCACAACCAGTACCACAGTCAAGCGCCCCCTGAAAGAAGCTGCGCAGGACTGACAAAACTACATCCGTCCAAACAAATTAAAACAAGCTGGCATAGGAGGCGCCTATGAACAAGCATCCAGGAACGAGGTCGCCTACCAAAAAACCCTGGAGTGGTGTTGCTGGATGACCCTGACCCCGAATTCCCGATAAGGCCACAACCAGTACCACAGTCAAGCGCCCCCTGAAAGAAGCTGCGCAGGACTGTCAAAACAACATCCGTCCAAGCAAATTAAAACAAGCAGGCATAGGAGGCGCCTATGAACAAGCATCCAGGAACGAGGTCGCCTACCAAAAAAACCCTGGAGTGGTGTTGCTGGATGACCCTGACCCCGAATTCCCGATAAGGCCACAACCAGTACCACAGTCAAGCGCCCCCTGAAAGAAGCTGCGCAGGACTGACAAAACTACATCCGTCCAAACAAATTAAAACAAGCAGGCATAGGAGGCGCCTATGAACAAGCATCCAGGAACGAGGTCGCCTACCAAAAAAACCCTGGAGTGGTGTTGCTGGATGACCCTGACCCCGAATTCCCGATAAGGCCACAACCAGTACCACAGTCAAGCGCCCCCTGAAAGAAGCTGCGCAGGACTGACAAAACTACATCCGTCCAAACAAATTAAAACAAGCAGGCATAGGAGGCGCCTATGAACAAGCATCCAGGAACGAGGTCGCCTACCAAAAAAACCCTGGAGTGGTGTTGCTGGATGACCCTGACCCCGAATTCCCGATAAGGCCACAACCAGTACCACAGTCAAGCGCCCCCTGAAAGAAGCTGCGCAGGACTGACAATGGGCAAAACCGAAGCCCCCGAAACAAGAGAGGCTGCCTTGATTGCAGGCAAGCTTCGAGAGAATGCAGGGCTGGAAGCAAAGGGTGGCCGGGCTGAAGTGACCCCACCACCACAGGTGACGCACGGAAAGCTCGTCCACATGCCGTCGGGGAAGGCACTTCGACAACTCTGGCGTCGATGTCCAGTTGCGGCATGTCGATCTCCAAGGTTGGCGCTGTCAAGAGTGGAGCTTGCCAACAAACAAGTTCACCAGAATGTTCATGTTGCTCTGAAGGCGCTTCCAAGTCTTCACGAATGTCTGCAGATTCTGCATGGGGAAGTTCATGAGTATCGTTCTCTGGCACCACCGGAATCTGATGGCTTTCAAGTTGCTCTGACGGTGCCTCCAAATCTTCAAGAACGTCCGATTCTGCAAGAGACGCCGATCCCCTCGACCTCCAAGTCAAGTAAGCCATGGGAAGAACCATAGCTAGGAATGAGAACGACGCCATGAGCACTTTGGCAGCTCTGCTCCAGAAAAAGTCAATGCGAAATCCCGTCCGCAGAAAGGCTCTCACGTCCATGTTTCCCGTGACTTTGCGCAGGACTGGCACGCCGAAGGCTGTAACTCTCAGTACAACCTTGGACACAATGTGGGCACCTGACGCTCTGGCCGGCCCATTTGCAGCATCTATTTTGCATGAAAGCATCCCGCTTGCACAAGCCCAGCCCAGCAGGACAAGGAGCAAACATACGACTTTAGCCCTCATTGGAACCAAGTCGCAGGAGCAACCGCGCTTCAATATGGGGAGTGTCAACAGGGGATTTGTGTGGCAATATCCTTTCACACTACAGCGCTTCATCTGTGCCAAAGCCATGTTTCGCTTCCTACTGTAGAAAAATCGGCTCCATATGGACCAAGGATCATGACACGTTTTTCGAGAAATTGCCTGCCACTGCCTTCAGTTTATTGACAGCACAAGTTTTGAGCTTAAGCCAAACATCCTTCGAATCGGCAGTTGTCAACATGATTGGCTTTGACGAACAAATATACAGCAAGACTCTCCCTTTTATTCTCTTGTCATGTTTCTTAGCCATGGATAGATGTTCCATGGGATTCCACAGAGTTCCAATACAACGAATGCGAAGATTTCCACGCCCTGTCCCTGCTTCAACCCCTGACTCCGAGCCTTCTGCATGGCTACGCCAGTCTCTGCGAAGCAAGCCTCCAAGAATGAGAAGACTTGAGGATGAAGAAGGAAATGTAGAAGCACAAGCGGTTGCAGGACAGGTAAGATCAAAAAAGAACAGTACAAGGAGACAGCGTAAAGATTAAAGAAGGAGAGCTAGGTGAAGAATACTCCTATGTAGGTGTACTAGACCATGCAATGCATACTACATGAATTATGGATAACATTCAAGCTGATTTGCAAGCAATCGTGCCTGTCTGGTGAGGAGCCACGCCTGCCAAAACTGTTCTGTATGAAGCAACCCTCACAAGGGCATGTGCCTTCCAGAAGTCGGGGTCAAGTTAATTGTGTCCAACCTTTCGCTGGTAGCCTGAACGAAGCGTATGAGCACAGGTAACAGCGAGGACAGCCCGGGCCCATGGAATGCGATCAGTATGGCGTCTGCACGGTTGTGGTATCGTAACACCCGTAAACTGTGAAAGGTGTAGTGAACCTACATCTGAGTAGGGACGAGCATCGAGCATGCGCTCGGCAGGCAGTCTATTGTACACTATTCCACGACGTCACCGTTGCTATACTAGCTTCTTAGTGTATTGTTTTTGTCATATCATTGTTGCAACTACAATGTCAGATACAGTTTCTGATCACACCGCATAATCTTCCTTAAGAAAGCTGTTCTGCAGCTAGCAATTCTACCCCACTCCTATGTAGGTGTACTAGACCATGCAATGCATACTACATGAATTATGGATAACATTCAAGCTGATTTGCAAGCAATCGTGCCTGTCTGGTGAGGAGCCACGCCTGCCAAAACTGTTCTGTATGAAGCAACCCTCACAAGGGCATGTGCCTTCCAGAAGTCGGGGTCAAGTTAATTGTGTCCAGCCTTTCGCTGGTAGCCTGAACGAAGCGTATGAGCACAGGTAGTAAAGGAGTTCGCGAGACTGCCATCGTCGTTTCGGGAGAAACAAACCGGAACCCTTCTGGAATCCAAGAACGCTTTCGTGGGCATAAGGGGCCATTTCAAGATAGCTGTACATTTCAGGGAAGATCTTCTCATCAGCAAAGAAAAAAGGAAACACAGCGATCACGCTGTATGCTCCTGAAGTGTCCACGGTTCTCATGAACAGGGCTTCAGGTCCTGTGTTCAAATTGTGGGGACATGCAAAGAGCCTTCTGGGGCCATCCTGGACGCTTTCTACCCACACCTACCTTTCCAGGGCGTGAACCACCTTGATGGTTACACATGCTTACTTCAGCTGCTGAGGGATCCCATCTAGTGCCACTGCATGTGGATGAGTACGTCTAGCAGTCTAGCAATGCTGAATCTCTCAGTCGCACCTGGCGTGCTGAAGCGCCGCACTGAGCTTCCAAATGCCTCCGGTGAGTGAAACACAGACGGCGTCTACGCTGGCCAAGTGTTGCGAACGCTCTGGGAACCTCGGGAGCGCTCGCCGCAACCCTGCGCCGGAGAACCTCAAAGGTGAGGTCCCAGTGATGCGGCAAAGAAGATAGCAAGGCTCGCAATGCATCTACGACACTCTGGGCACCCACACTGCCAAATGTCAAATGGTTGGCAAAGTCCGCGCCCGATCTCAGATTGTCACATGATTCTGCAGACGCAGGATAATCTTGAGATGTGGGCAAGCATACGTTGCACGTGCAAATGGGGTGGAGTTTTTTTTTGGGTCTTTTTTTTTTTTTTGGTCGATTTTCTTGGTTTTCTCTAGGAAAAACCCTACTTTCCTTACATTTTGGACGGATTTTCTGTAATTTCCCTTCGGTTTTCGTTGGTTTTTCATAGGGAAAAACCTATTTTTTTACATTTTGGACGGATTTCCTGTAATTTCCCTTAGGTTTTCCTTGGTTTGTCCTAGGGGGAAACCCAATTTTCCTTACATTTTGGACAGATATCCTGTCATTTCCTTCGTTTCTTGGGCTTTGAAGCACGCTTGGTACGGCTTAAAAGAAGCGGGGGGGGGTTGGGGGGGGCGCACCCCCCCCCCATTTGCAAACATCCTGCTCACATGATGGGTGTCAACAAGTTTCTTGGGCTTTGAAGCACGCTCTGCACGGCTTCAAAAAAGCGGGGGGGTTGGGGGGGGCGCAGCCCCCCCCCATTTGCAAACACAATGCACACACGATGTTTTTCAACTAGTTTCTTGGGCTTTGAAGCACGCTTGGTACAGCTCAAAAGAAGCGGGGGGGTTGGGGGGGCTCTGCCCCCCATTTGCAAACACCCTGCTCACATGATGGGTTTCAACTACTGTCTTGCGCGTCAGCTGAAAAAAAGCAGGGGGGTTGGGGGGGGCGCAGCCCCCCCCATTTGCAATGCTCACACGATGTTTTTCAACTAGTTTCTTGGGCTTTGGGCTTTGAAGCACGCTTGGTACGGCTTAAAAGAAGCGGGGGGGGTTGGGTGGGGGGAACACCCTGTGTCAACAAGTTTCTTTGGCTTTGAAGCGCGCTCTGCACGGCTTAAAAAAAA